GCCGATGGAACTCTGTTATGTAGAGAGCGAGAAGGCTCGCTCTACAGGCTACAAGAAGTTGCAGAGATGCAACAGATGTCAAAAGACAGGACACTACGCTTACGAGTGTAGTGCCCCTCGTCCAGTGTCTCGCGACACTGGGCGTAGTGACCGTCCACCCATGAGAAAGGGGCAGGGACGAGGGTCCGCAGTTGGTGCAAAGACGCAACAACGGGATGGACCGTCAAAAAACGGACAGGATCAGTTAGGTGCGGAGCACCCTACTGGTCTAGCAACGTCAAGAGAATTTGTAGGCCTCTTGATGAAGGTTGCTCCCAACACACAAACGTTGTGCGTTGCTGCTCTAGGTAATGAGGTCTCACTCATTACCTTGAAACTCGAAGTGACGAATAAGTTGTCCCTTCGAGCTCTAGTCGATTGTGGGGCGTCCAACAACTTTGTGCGACGCCAATCGCTAGAAGATGGTCACTTTAAATTCAGTGAATGTGACACACCTCCTACGAGGATGACGGTACGTCTTGCGACAGGCGCATCCGTAACCGTCATGAAGCCTATAGTGAAGATCCACTATACGCTAGAAGATACCCAATATGACGATGACTTTATCGTATTGGATTTGGATGACAAATTTGATGTCATCCTTGGAATACCGTGGCTCAGAAGGTACGAACAACGAGTAAACTGGCAACATCGAACATTAACGATGCCTGCCGCTTGTTCATCAGATGGCCATCTGATGAACGTTTTGGAGCGTCCACAAGCGTGTGGGTGTACTGCGAGTGAGTGCGATGGCCTCACTTGTGGTACGGTCGTTAGTACGACTGCACAAAACCTTAGTGTACCAAACGGTTACACTTCGGAGCAAAGTTCCGGCGGCTGTGAGGAAACACAGGCTGCGCCGAAGGTCCACCACTCGAATAAGTCGGGTGGACTGGGACAAAGATGTATCCCTAGCGGGGAACATCTAGAAGAGAAACAATCTATCGCTCAGGTTAAGCGAAACGATAATCCTAGATCGACTGGAGAGTCTTTCGTAGAGGATCTCGCTGTGGTTGCGCAACCCCAGCTAGAGGAAGTAAAGGGAATAAGTCCCAAGATTACAAATACGGCGGAAATAAGTTCCCCGAAACCCGCGGGAATAAGTCCCCGGGAAGCCGAAGGAATAAGTCCTTCGAAGCCTGAGGGAATAAGTCCCCAGGAAATGACAGAGACATTGAATGTCATAGTCAATAACGGATCAAGTGTAGGCGCTTATACACTTGATCTGATTGCGCCTCCGAAGTTAACTTCGGAGATCACTCAGTTGCCAACGCTCGAACATAAAAGGTTCTTGCGTGATCTGCGTAGTGGCAAAGTCAAGCAGATCTGCGTACTCGTCGCTGACGACGAGTGTGTAACCGACATAAGGTCAGCAACAGTGTTCACTGAGAACGAGAGAGTTCTCAGTAGTTCATCTATGGACGAGAGTGTCCTAGATGAAAAGACACGAATTGAGCGATATGACTCCCAATCATGGGAATCGCTCAAGACAAATCCTCTCTATGAAGATTTGGTTGAATTCAAGGATGTATTCCCTGAAACTGTTCCGTGCGAATTACCGAAGGATAAAGGTATTCGACACGAGGTCGAGCTTAAACCAGGCTCGAAGTACTGTGTCATGAAGCAGTGGCCACTGCCTCGTGAACAAGTACTTGCGATCGACAAGTTCTTTGCCGATCGTTTAGCTGCAGGCCATGTGAGGGAATCAACTTCCCCTCACATCTTTCGGAGCTTCTGTGTGCGAAAAGCAACAGGAGGGTGGCGGATAGTGCATGCATTTAACAAGTTGAATGCTGCAACGGTACCGGCTCAGACGCCTATACCGAGGAAGGACGTAATCATTGATGGTATGTCAAAAAGTACCATCTTTTCGTCCATGGATTTGATGGATGACTTCTATCAAATCCTTATGCGGGAACGGGATATACCCTATACCGCAGTTAGCACGCCTAGCGGCATGCTCTGGGAATGGCAAGTAATGCCACAAGGGCTCAGTAATGCCCCTGCCACGTTCAACAGATGTATATCACATCTGTTGAGACCAGTACGAGAATTCGCGCCGAGTTATTTCGATGACGTATTCATCCATAGTCGAGCTATGGATGGAAAGTCGGACGTTGAGGTTCACAGGTACCACGTCCGACAAGTTCTTACAATCATGCGAAAGCATCAATTGTATGCAAACCTCAAGAAGTGTATATTTACAGCAAGCGAATACCAATTCTTGGGTGCATCGTTGGTAAGAACGGTGTACGTCCTGATCCCGAAAAGATCAAGGCGATCACCTACTGGCCTGTGCCGGTTGATGTCAAAGGTCTTCGAAAATTCCTTGGGCTAGCGGCGTATTTGCATAAGTATTCACGCAATTACGCCGAGATGACTGTACACCTCTCTCGTTTGTTGAGAAAGAACGAGAGGTGGTTATGGAACGCTGAATGTCAGCGCTCCTTTGAGGGTATCAAGCAGAGCTTGATACAATCCCCAGTCCTAGCAATAGCCGATCAGGACAGGCCATTTCATGTGGTCTGTGATGCCAGCGATTTCGCAATCGGCTGTGCATTAATGCAGTACGATCTTGAAGGCGTTGAACGCGTCGTCTGCTATCAGTCGCGTCAGCTGCAACCAGCTGAGTGGAACTATCCAGTGCATGACAAGGAACTCCTTGCCATGAAGTATGCACTCGCGAAGTTCAGAGTCTATCTATTAGGAGATAGACCCTTCGTTGTTTACACTGACCATGCGTCATTACGCACGGCAGTGAACAGCCCGCACCTTTCACAACGAATGGCGCGGTGGTTGTCATTCTTTGCAGAATACAATTTTACGGTCGAGTACAAACCAGGACGACTTAATGTCGTCGCTGATGCACTCTCACGTCGTCCCGACTTTGAAACAGTCGCGAAACCCAACAGTGAGACAGTCACTGTTGCGGTTATGACGTCCTCAGTCCCATCTACAACGTTGTATGATGATGTGAGGCGGGCATACGCCCAAGATGGTGAGATTGTGAAGTTGTTGACACATCTCTTTCAACCATCTCGAGAATCGTTGAAACGATTGTCGCCTGCGTATCGATCTGCATCAGATCGATACACTACTCGTAACGGTTTACTGTATTATACAGCCGTTTTTGGTGACACACCACGTGTTGTCATTCTAGATGATACTGATCTGCGTTTGCGGATCATGTTCGAGTATCACGATGCTCCTATAGGAGGACATCGTGGCCGAGAGAAAACATATCTCACGGTAAGTCGAGACTTTTACTGGCCCCGCCAGTATCAGTTTGTGCAAAAGTATGTTCGCGCATGTGAAGTCTGCCAACGAGTGAAGTCAAGTCCTTCACTACATGCACCTTTACAGCCTCTACCGGTTCCGGCTGAGTGCTGGGAATCCATCTCAATGGATTTCGTCTTCGGGTTACCCAAAGACGCACGCGGGAATACGGGTATTCTCGTATTTGTTGACAGATTCAGCAAAATGGTACACCTTGTGGCTGTACCAGAGTCAATCACAGCAAGTGGCTGTGCTTGTGTCTTCATTGACACCATCTTCCGACTTCATGGGTTGCCCCGTGAACTCGTATCAGACAGAGATCCACGATTCACTGCTGATTTCTGGCGTTCCGTGTTCAAATCACTCGGAACGCGCTTGAAGATGTCAACATCTGATCATCCAGAGTCAGATGGTCAGACGGAACGTGCCAATCGTGTCCTTGAAGAGATACTTTGAGGATACGTACACTCCTTTAAGAGTTGGAGTGAGTTTTTGCCAATGGTAGAGTTTGCCATCAACAACTCGGTGCATGCGTCCACGACACATACACCGTTTTACGTGAATGGCTTACGCCATCCGCGTGTACCCACCTTACTAGAGTGTGACTCTGGTTTAAGGGGGGGAGGGACTCGCGCGAGCAAAAACCGATTTGGTTCACGCTCATCACGCTCTGACAAAGAAGTCATTGCGTTTGATGCCGATATCGATAACATCGATATCGAAGAATATGATGCCAGTGAGAGTGCGGAAGCCCTCACTGAAGAATATGATGCCAGTGAGAGTGCGGAAGCCCTCACTGAAGAAGATGATGCCAGTGAGAGTGCGGAAGCCCTCACTGAAAAAAAGATTGTTGTTGCTGCAGTGTGCTCACAGCGCACTGAAGCTAACGAGCCAGCAGATGAGTTCATACTGGCTCGTGAAACGGTAGTCCGTTTTGTGCAAGACTCCATCGCCGAAGCGGTGGATAAGCAAAAGCAAAACGCTGACAAGAATGGAAGGGCGAACACTCTTTTATTTAATAAAGGCGACTTAGTCCTACTGTCTACGGTTAATCTACCAAAGCATGTAGTGACTAACTTGGGTAGCAGTAAACTACTACCCAAGTACATTGGCCCATTTCGTGTATTGCACCGCCTAGGCAATGCATACACGATCGAGTTACCACGTAAGATGCGAACGCATCCCACGTTTTACGTTGGTCGGCTTAAGCCGTACCATCAGTACGCTGCTTCTTCCGATGAAGAACGCCCTTGCGCTCAAGCATCTCGCAGAGAGCCTTGTGCTCCCGATGGTGGGCATCAACAAGGGTCTGAAGAGCAGCTATCTCATCCCGAGACCGATCAGCAATCCCACGAGCTACCCTTAGCTCGTCACGAAGAGATGTCAGGGATCTCTCGTTCTCGAGCTGAGCAAAGGCAAACTCAGCTCGATGCTTCGAGGCAGTGTCCGCCATTTGGAGACGCCTATTCCGCTCATGCTCGAGATCGTCGCGTAACCCTTGCGTTACGCGATCAAAGAAGCTCTCGGGAACACACCGATCCACATGATCGTGTGGAGAGCGTCTTTCCTCCTCCTCCACCTCCATTAGAGGACTCTCGCGGTGGCCAGCGCTATCTAGTAGAGCAGCTGTTGAACCACCGCGACGTGAACGGACGTCGGACGAGTTACCTCGTCCGGTGGCGCGGCTATTCCCCCGTCCTGGGATTCTTGGGAGCCCCGCTCCCAACTGATGATTGACGTACTGGGTCTGGTTGAGCAGTACGACGCGACACATCCTGTGCCGCAGAAGGACCGCCGGAGAAAGTCTTCCCGGCACGGTCGTAAAGGGATTTCAGGTTGTCAATCCCTTCGTACATCTCAGTAGAGACACGTACGCGCCACCACGGGCTGGTAAGGAGGTAAGCCTCCTTAGGTGCTCGTGCAGAGTTGTTCACACAACATGGGCACGAGTCTCCCCAAGAGAGGCAGGGTAATCCTTTCTCCCTTGACAGACGATGCAGCTTGTAGCGTGCACCTGTCGGGGTTCGCTTTTCAAACTTATCACGAGCTTTGATAAGTTTGTCGTTCCAAGCGTCACGACCTACATCCTCGAGATTATGGATGTAGGCGTTCCACGCCTGAAGTAGTGAGGGACCATCACGTTTGTGATTCCCACTGTACCATCGATGTCTGAAGAAAGCATCGATGAAGAACTCATGTTCAGCGCGATAGTCTTTCGCGCTGGGGTCAAGGTGATGGATCCTTGATGAATCGAACAATCGTGTTCGATACCGATCACTCGTCGTCGCCGACAAGTGATCCATGACTGATTTAGGAGGCATCCATGCCTTCTTCTCAGGAGCGAGACGCAACACATTGCGGTCCCGCTCTTCCTGCGACGTGCCGACAGAAGTACTGGCACCTCGCTGTGAAGTGGTGTCCATAGGAGAACCGACACCACTATTAGCGCCCGAGTCTCGCGACCTCGAGCGCCTTCGCTTTGGCGATGGTTCATCTGATTCATCAGATGAACCAAAGATGCTGCGACGCAAAGCATCGTCCATGCCACGCTTGGCAGGCGGCTTAGATTCAATCGCCGTCGATACGGATCCGTCATCCGTATCAGGAGAGTATGAGACACCGAGCTCGTACTCTGTGAAGACACGAGTGTCTTCATGACCAGCGCCTGCATCACCAAGTGACACAGGCTGGGTCGCTTCAGCAACCGATGAGACATCAGTTGCTGTTGTTTCTGCTTCGGCGTCCGCACAGAGACGTGCAGACGCGCTCTCGGCGGCCTTGCTCGCGCATCGTATGGGCTTGTTTACCATGCGATGAGATGTTGGAAAGTGGACGCGGACCAACAAGTGCAAACCCTGTCCCAAATGATTTGGGACGAGTATCCATTTAGTCAATCAGTCACTAAAGTGACTGATGGTTAAGGGGGGTGATGTAACGGGGTGAATCGTTACATAACAATTTATAAGAAATTGTTAATAGAATATAACTATAAGAGTTATATTCTCAGAATATTGTCATAAGGACAGATATTCTGTAGCACTTACAAGTAGTTCCTAATTGGTTGATATAGGCCATTATATCAACCAACGAAGACGCGCCACGACAGACGCACGCAATGAGTGGTGAGCAGATAATCAATTTACACATTTGTATTTAGACATAGTTAGATGAAGATAAATAGTGATTTATTGCAGACATTAACTATTATAAATACAGTTCTACTTTTTACTCTAACCAAGTACTCGCTTCTTCCTACCGTCTTCCTCTGCACGTACCAGTATACGTGAAGTTACGAGGCACCGCCTTATTCTGTCATCAGAATAAGTAGCTTGTACTGGTGACCAGTACAAGCTTCAGGGTGCCCCGTTACAATGTCAGTATCCACAACCAACTGTATGCTTATAGAAGACCACTTCTTTGTTGACGAAGCAACCCAGAGGAAGCTTCCACCACTGGTCCAGTCCACCGTCGAGAATGGGCAAGAGCTCACCGTATCGGGTGCCAAATTTAATAGATTTTTAGCAAACCAACACCATCGCTATCCGCTGTTTACAAATAACTTCATGGTCGTTTTTGCTAGTGCTGTAGGCTCCCATGCCAGTGCCACTGCCGAGTCCGGGTCCGGATCCAGTGAGCGCAGTAAGTGCTGCTGCATGATTAAGAGAATTGGAAAAGCGAACGCTCTATGCGGCAGTGGTGTGCTTTGACGGAAGGTCGTCTCGGCGGACCTGTCGACACGATGAGAATACAGCCATGCTATGCGAGGCTGGGTATCACGCCTCTAGTGACTTTTCCTAAGTCATTCTTGCTGGGCGTGGCTTATGGAATAGCTGTATAGGGGCATTTCCCCGCAGGAAGAGTTTCGCTCACACATCGTCGCTCGGGCTACAAAGATCTAAGTGCTCCAGATAGCAGGCGATATGGTATGAGTTCAAACTGTCGACAGCAGGTGCACCAGTCTACTTGAACCCAAAAATAAGATCGATCCAGTGGTGGGGGTCGCTGGACATAAATTCGCATCGAAGGGCCAGACAGTGAAGTCGCACAAATTCGTAGGGCGAAGCAGTGCCACTTCACGCGCTAGACATGCCGTCGCACTAACGCTCTGTCCTGGACTGAAGTGGCACGCGAAAGCTTTGTATCAGGCGCTTGAAAATAACCTTGGTATGTAGAAAACTCTGGCGTCAGCTCAAACATGTGACGATCGTCACTCGTGCACATCTGAAATGCATCAAGCATTGAAACTGTTGATGTTGATGTGCGCAGGCGAAGGCAAATTGTGAAGTGAATATATTTATGGTCCTTAGTTCGCAAACTTGCTTCGCTACCTCTAAGCCACTCATTTCCTATACTTAGACAAACTATATCAGTCCCACTGATTTAGCTAGACCAATGAACACCCTTCGATCTTCTCAAGATCTTCTAGAAGGTTCACTGGTTTATCTAGACCAATCAACACCCTTCGATCTTCTCAAGATCTTCCAGAAGGTTTAAGAAGCTCTCCTTGTGACGTCACCCGATGACGTCATGCTGTGCTTCTTCTCAGCCAGTCCTTCTCGATTCTTCCAAACCTATCCATGAACATAAAAAGCAGTAGACGGTGCTATGTTAACACTCCCACTCACCGCTATTGCTAAATGCCCTTGGGTCCAATGCAGCTTGCTTGTATCAAATAGTTCAGTCGCTTGGTCCCCAGAGCCTTCGTTAGCATGTCGGCCAATTGGTCCATGTGGAGATGTACTTGCCCACGATGATATCGTGGGCCACATTCTCCCGGATGAAGTGGTGACGAATGTCAACGTGCTTGGTTCTGGCATTGTAGCCGGCATTGCTGGCAAGCCCAATTGCTCCTTGATTGTCTTCCCAGACCCACGTTGCTCCCACTTGCTCGTGACCTAGATCCTTAAGCAGCGCACGAACCCATAACACTTCCTGTGTACACAGGCTTAAAGCCATGTACTCTGCCTCAGCAGAGCTTAGAGCCACCGTGCGTTGATACTTGGACTTGTATATGGCTGGTGCGCCACCGATGATCACCATTATCCCTGACACGGAGCGTCGATCATCGATGTTGCTACCCCAGTCCGCGTCCGTATACGCTGTAGCTGTTACTTTGCTAGCGCTGCCGTCGTAGATTATCCCGTAGTCTCTTGTCGTCTTGAGATACCGAAGAACACGAATGGCTGCCTTCCAATGTTGCTGATCTGGATTCTCCAAAAACCTTGATAACTGCGTGATGACATACATCACATCTGGGCGCGTACATGTCGTGATGTATAGCAAACATCCGATCAGCGACCTGTACGGCTTTGACTGCATTTCTGCTCTATCGACATCCGTCGTTGGGGATTGCTTCTTTGAAAGCTTCAGGCCGGACTCGCATGGGTTGACCACTGCCTTTGCGTCCTCTTGATTAAAACGGCTGGCCACATCATCGATGTATCGAGTCTGTCGAATCATCAGCTTACTGCAGTTGTGGTCATGATCAATCTCCACGCCAAGAATAAATTTAGCCTTGCCTAGCTCCTTCATACGAAATGAGCTCTTGAGTGCTGTCTTGATCTCTTGAATCTCCCTGCTGGTCTTGGCGGCGATGATCATGTCGTCGACGTAGAGACAAACATAGACATAGTTGTCATCTTGATGCTTGACGTAGATACACTGATCTGCTCCGCTGCTACGAAATCCGATCTGTAAGAATACAGCATGGATTGTCTTGTTCCACGCACTTGCAGCCTGCTTGAGACCGTAGATTGCCTTGTACAACTTGCACATCATCTTCTCCGCATTAGCTATGCCATTTGGCACTTCCATGTACACCTCTTCCTTGAGATCACTGTTCAAGAACGCCGTGTCTACGTCCAGCTGCTCAGTGACGTATCCCTTTGTCACCACCACAGCTAGCACAACCCTGATCGAGTTCATGTTTGCCACGGGAGAGTACGTCTCGAAGAAGTCGACACCGAATTTCTGCTTGAACCCCTTTTCGACGAGTCGAGCTTTGTAGCGCACCACTTGTCCGTGTTCGTTTCGCTTCTTAGCGAATATCCATCTGCACCCGATTGGTCGAATGTCTTGCCGTTTTGGTACCAGTGTCCAGGACCCGTTATCGGCGTGCGCCTTGAGCTCCGCTTGCATCGCTTGAATCCACTTGCTGTTGTCTTCGCCTTTTAACGCTTGGCTGTATGTTGATGGAGCGTCGTCCGCCTCGCCAACGCTTGCAGCATAGGCTAATACAGCCTCTGCAATGAGACCTTCGTCATCAATTCTTGCACGCTTTGGAGAAGGTGGTCCATCGCTACCTTCTGACGTGTCTTCACTGCTATTCCCATTCTCAAGCAGCAGCATTCTGTCTCGTGAGCGTCTTGTCCGATTTATCTCCGGCTGAAATACCAACCTGTCCTCCTGAAAAGCTTGTTTCGGAGCTTGATATCCCGTTATCTCATCGCCTCTTGGTTCTTGAGTTTCTGGATCGAGTACTTGAGGTATGATGATACCTGTTTCGAATGGAGCCGATTCTATCTCGTCCATCTCGACATCAGGAGCGCTTTCTTCGACATCTTCCATCGTCTCGTCTCCATCATACGGACGAACCACCGGAATCACTGCTTCATCAGTGTCCCTAATATACTTGACGACTGGTACTTTATCTAGTACCACCGTGTCGTATATGCCTTCAACTTTCCGCTCGTCCAGCTTTACGGAGCGCGATATGACAACCTTCGACCTTTCCAGATTGAACACCCTGTATCCCTTGGTGTTCTCCGCATATCCGAGGAACATACACCGGTAACTCTTTGGTTCGAGCTTCGTCCTCTTGGCGTCGTCAATGTGAGCATACCCTTGCGATCCAAACACACGCAAATGCTCAATACTCGGCTTCATCTTGAAACCAACCTCGAACGGTGTTACGTCCGAATTTGCAGAGTTTGTGGATCTGTTGATCAAGTACACAGCCGTACTGACCGTCTCTGCCCACCACTGCATGTCGATACCCTTGTAGTACAGCATGCTCCTTGCCTTCTCCATGATAGTGCGATTCATGCGTTCCGCAACGCCGTTCTGTTGCGGGCTATATGGTACTGTCCGCTGGTGCATGATACCATTACGGGCGCATATATGGGCAATCTTCTTGTTGACAAACTCCGTCCCGTTATCCGACCGTATACACTTCAAGTGCTTGCCCCATTGATTCTCAAAGAAATCCTTAAACTCGCTAAGCCTTGCGGCCACCTCGCTCTTGTGCTTCATGAAGTACGCTGCCACAAATCTTGAGTAGTCGTCTACGAATGTCAATACGAATCGTGCACCACCCTTTGAGACCGTCTTCATCGGTCCCATCACGTCCGTGTGTACTAGTTCCAACACACGTGACTTCCTTGTTAGCGATTGAGACGGGAATGTATCGATCGTCAGCTTGCCCTTCATGCATCCACTGCACAGCTTCTCGATGCCCTGCTTTACCGCCGGCATACCACTCGTAGCGCGCTGTGTCTTGTCCATACCAGATCTTCCGGGGTGTCCCAAGCGAGCGTGCCAAAGCTCCCACTCACTTTCAGCCCCTGCGTATTCTACAAGCCGGGCTTCTTCTTGTTCGCAATCCAGGAAGTACGCCTTGCCAATCTTCTTGCCGCTTGCAATCGCGCGCTTGGCACTCCAAATGAAGCAGGACGAGCTTTGAAACTACACCCTCATGCCTCGTCCTGCCAGTTTGCCAACGGACAGCAATCGTTTGTCAAGTCCTGGTATGTGCATGACATCGACCATCATGATCCGTCGACCGTCTAGACCTTTCAGCTTGACTGTTCCCACTCCAGCTACCTGCAGCTTCTTGCCATCAGCGATAGAGACTTGTTGACCAGTCTTCAACTCCTTGTACTCAAATAGATCGCTCCGATGTGGTGTCATGTGCGACGTAGCCCCGCTGTCGATAAGCCATTCTTCGCATTGCAACTCACCAGCAGCAAACACAGCACCTTCTTCCTCGCCGTTGCTACGCTTCAGGCAGTCCCGCTTATAGTGTCCGACTTGACCACACTTAAAGCACTTGCCTTTAATTCCGGTGTTGGTTTTCCGTAGATAGTTTCCCTTGCGGCCGTTACCTTGGCCTCCCCTTGAACCGTCTACCGTTGCTGCTTACAGGAAACGCCTTCTCCGTAGTCTCCTTCCTCTGCAATCGTTCATGCTCCTTGAGCAGCTTTTCCTTGACCTCGATGAGCGTAATGTCCTTGGAATTCTCTACAATTGACGAGATGAGCTCATAGTCCGTCGGAAGACTACTAAGCAGCACCACTAGCTGCCGAGAGTCATCGACTGGCTCTCCAAGTGTCTGGAGGCCGACAACAAGCTCGTCAAAAGCATCCAAGTGCTTCGACATGGTCGAACCATTCTCCATCTTGAACTCATGCAGACGACGTGTCATCTCGACACGATTGTGGAGCGTGGTGCGGTTGTAGAAGTCCCGCAAGATGACCCACGCGTGCATAGCTGTCGTCGCCGATCGTATCTTGGTCTGGTGCTGTAGCTCTATGCCTTGAGCGATGATACCCAGTGCCTTAGCGTCGTTGAACAGCCAGGCATTGTTCATCTCTTCTTCTTTCTTGATGACTTGAACGTGCACCAGCAGCCCCTTGCGCGCCAACGTCATGCGCATGTTATACTCCCAGTGGAAGTAGTTTCCACTACCCAGGAGGACTTCACACCGCTTGTTTGTCATGGTGGACGTGGTGGCTTGGCGGTTTGGAGCGCGTTGCGGCTGTTAACCTGTTGATGTTGATGTGCGCAGGCGAAGGCAAATTGTGAAGTGAATATATTTATGGTCCTTAGTTCGCAAACTTGCTTCGCTACCTCTAAGCCACTCATTTCCTATACTTAGACAAACTATATCAGTCCCACTGATTTAGCTAGACCAATGAGCACCCTTCGATCTTCTCAAGATCTTCTAGAAGGTTCACTGGTTTATCTAGACCAATCAACACCCTTCGATCTTCTCAAGATCTTCCAGAAGGTTTAAGAAGCTCTCCTTGTGACGTCACCCGATGACGTCATGCTGTGCTTCTTCTCAGCCAGTCCTTCTCGATTCTTCCAAACCTATCCATGAACATAAAAAGCAGTAGACGGTGCTATGTTAACACGTACCCATAGCATCGAATCACGTCCTTTTGATATTGTAGCTCTATCTATTTATTCTAAGCTTGTTAGCATCGACCGTTGACCACATCATTGTGGAGTGCGACATGTTTCGCCATGACGGCGTGTGGTAATGTGCATCGTGGAAGGACGACTAGCCGACGTGCAGAGTATTTTTTGTGACAAATAATTATGAAGATGAAGCTATAAGAACGGTTCTGACGAACTGCGCTCGCGTGTACTCGCGGCCACAGTGTGACAGAATCCTGCAATGGGCATTTTGTATGACATGGATCCTGCTATGCATTCAGTCTTCATAAAACGCGGTTAGCCATGTCAATCCTGCCATCCTGAAGCAGATTACAAAATGACAGATAGCACAGCAACATGAATGCCATCTAAGAACGGTGCACATAAAACGTAGGCTGTCCTTTGGTATGTCTGCAAAATTACGAAGGCTTATTACCATGCAATTCTGACCGTAACACGGGTGCTTCTTCCTGAGGTGCTTTTCAACTTATGGTGGCGGTGGGGTAAGGAATTACTCCACTTATGTAGCTCAGCCGGCGCTACATACAAATTTGATCAAGTCATCATGCGGACGGCTTTGGTACGTCGCCAGAAGTAGATAGGTGACGCGTGTAAATAAATGTGGATTATCGTACAGAAAGAGATAAAATTGGATCGAAATACCGTGTGTTGGGGTCGAGCTCTCTGATGCAAGAATAACCGACATGACTGTGATGCGCCAGGTCCATCCATTGCCATGTTCATTGGACATGTCATGCTTTTGTCAGATGCAAGTGTACCATGTGCAGTGGTAATGTTTAACACCGAAGAATAGAAGGCGGTATTTCATGAACTCATGCTAACGGTGGGTTCGCACTAATGCTGGCAAGATGATTCACAAGTGTTTAGAAAGTGCTGAATATCCGAGGCAGACGCACGCAATGACAACAGCTTTAGTCGCACGATGACAGACCTGTGCGGAATGACCACAAACGCTTACACACATCTAGGCTGCTTTCAGGATGGCTACGGAAACAACGGAGTAGGCTAGACTTTACACATGACGTACCTTCGGGTGCATTTCGCTTCTTCTACCAGCGACAAGAACTCGGCTGTAGTAGCGCAACTCGAGCTGATCGCCCCAGTGATTGCGCGGAAGGATTTACGTCACACCGGGGCCGACTCTTTACAAACTAAGTTTTTCGTTGCTTTTTCACGCATTGCATGTAGACTTTGTCAAATTGTGAAGTTGTCTTGAGGACCAACGTCTGACCATCTCAGCCGGTGGGCTCATCATCATCCCCTGCGTGCTACAGTGGTTCTGCGAGCACGTGGACCATGCTACGGGCGAGTTTAGACGGAATCTAGCTGCCACTCAGGTCCAGATCATCTATTACACATACTGGCTTGAACTCGTTGTGGCTCCGCACGCTTCCAAGGGGAAATACATGGTGACTTTGTTTGGGTAAAAACAAGAAGATGCTCCCATCAGTCTTGAGTTCACAATTGTGCTACTTGAAACACACCAAATTCTTTTCTGATTTTGGACTGACGTCATGACTCAAGTCGACAGACGTCGTCATCAGATAACTAACTACCCGAACCCTTTGCGATCGAGCGACGTAGGGCAATTCCATTTCCTTCCTAATTCAATAAATTACTTTACAGGTTTGGCTTGTAATATGCTTTCACAGGTTATTCCTACTAAAAGACTTTTACTCGAAGGTGAATGGTTCCCGTGACCACCAATCCGATTTGCGACATCTTCATTGTGGGGGGTGAGGGAGGGTACCTCCCCGTATATATGCGGTTAGAAGGAGTGGTGCGAGGTAAGGTGGCTCACCCACCGGCGAAAGCCGTTGGACAGTAATAGGAGGCCTTTAAATTTTTCGATTCCATACCGATGCAGCTATTGTAAGGCTTCCCAATGTCAAATGTATTTTCGATCTCTGGTGACTTCGTGCCTGGTTCATTGATTTGCGCCTCTCTATTAAGGCTTTTAGGTTACGCTCTCCACAGTCTGGCAACGAGCATCACGATCAGGACAGAGTCGTTAGTTACCTCGATCGTCCGCAGCAGCTCATTCGCAAGCTTCCTTTTCTCACGTCCTAGAGCCAAACATTCTCTTGAGGGCTTCCCATCCAGCTGCCGTCATACGACTTATCCAACGCGTGACACAGCCAGGAATAATAATGAAAAAAAAGAATCTCTCTTCGTCCGTGGCCAAAGTATTCAAAGCGTTCAACTTCTCCTTGCGTACGCGGGAAATTTCCGTGCTAGGCTTGTCAATGGCTTGCGTAACTTCGTTAACGCGCATACTGGTTTCAGCCACTGAGTTCGTGCCTAAACAAGCAAAAATAGCGACCAGTAAGAGCAGAAGCGAACCGTGGGGGCGCATGATGAAGAGGGCGCGCAGAAGTTCCCACGTAGGACAAAATGACGGTCCGTGGAGTCTCGAGCACTTGGACACCGATTTGGAAATGATGAAACTGGTCGTCAAGCCTGGTCTGAGCGAAGCAACTTCAAAAATGTATCACTTTATAGAGGGTGCTAATCTGCGAAGAAGGCTCCTTCCCGATTCCCTCTCGTGAAGAGGTAGTGACTTGGGCTCCGTTCTGCAGCGTCCCGCGCGTCCCGCATCTAGGTTTCTTACCATTCTGACGTCAAAACCGCTATAAATTTTGTTCACCTATTATCTCATGGGGATGCTTGAACATGATCCGGATGTGTCATTATAACAATATGTACAGATTGACAAATCTATTACATGTATTGAACAGATAAGTCGAACTTTTGCCAAGCTATGCATCAGTGTACTTGGAGATACGTGTATAGACGATGCAGTTGTCTTCAATGACAACCTAAAACTCCCTGTATGTAGGGGCTCGCGACATTGTATAGACGATGCAGTTGTCTTCAATGACAACCTAAAACTCCCTGTATGTAGGGGCTCGCGACATTGCCTTTGATGACGGAGATTTCTTTCAGTATCCTTTCATGTGTAAGTTACCGGACTCGACCTGTTGCGCTATAGCTGAACCTACCTTCGGTTGCGTTCAAGCTGAGTCAAAAAAAAGTTCCTTTAAGCATCATGACAACTTTAGGCAATCGAGTAGCTTGAAGTTACTGCCGAAAAACGATGGTGCAAGGCGTTGTCACTTGCTGTTACTGAACTGCAGTGATGCTGAGGCATGTAGTCAACCATCGTAAACTCGTTGCAACACGTTTACGAAGAGCCTTACTTACGAAAGTTGGCCCTATAGCGGCACCAATTGGAATCTTGTAGAACTGGTCGTATCGCCTCTGCACCCACTTAAGCGTAATAGTTAATCACGTTGCGGTTCATTTAGCCTTCATGCTATGGTTGTTCGCTCTTGTTTCATAGTGCATATGGCGGCGCTCAGGTGTGTTCAACTTTGAACTGAATATCAAATCGTGGGGTATTCGTTCAATGAAATTGTCCCACAGAGTCCCGACCTGCGCTGACTGAGACGAGGGATAGGCCGAATCCTTCCCATCCCACATGGGCCGGAGCTTAAGCCGAGACTAGCCGAAAACAAAGCCACTGGACCGCGTCTGGCTGCCAATAACAATACTTTTTCTCGTTGACGACGCGTCCGCTCTCAACCTTTTTGCGCACCGGAGTTCTCCAACTCAGCAGTCAACTTTTTGCTGCTATTTGTGCCAGTACTTGTGTAGTTTGATTGTAGTTGTGAGTTTGGAAAAAATTTTGACGTGCTAACCACTACGACTAACATGCATCTTTTCCTCTCTCATGAACTTGCGTCTTACCATGAGACTGTCATCATCATCGGCTACTACAACAATACGTGCGGTTAACATACAACCGGCGAGATCGGTATCACGCAAAAGGTTGGAGATAGCGAGGGTGGATCTGCAACACTCCTCCTGACCGACCTGAGGTACTTACCTTGTAACTCGCGCTTCGCCACCTAAACTTTACATATCCTCCTTTTTTAATGATGGACGCGATAGCGGCTTGGTCAGAATATATGTAAGCTGTTGTAACGGGGTAGCCCGTTACATGAAATTGGCACGAAACGGTGTTAATAGGAATATTGTCTAGCATGACAGTATCCTACCAATATTATCCAAGATGGGTAACATTGAAGGAATTTTATCCCCATTAGATAACATTTATGCACTGCTCAAAGATTGGTTGATATAAGACACATCAACCATAGATTGCCACCAATCGCTGCAAGACACGCGCACTGAGTGGTGAGCAGGTTGTCGTCATACGACGACGTAATTTGATATAGTTAGATAAAGATTATAGTTATATTGATAGCTTAACTACATTAAATACAGTTCCCTTTTTGCCCTTACTCAACATAGTTGTTGAGTAAATTAGCTTCCCCTGCACGTACTAGTGTACGTGAAGTTTCGTGGCACCTCAAACAAAGGGTGCCCCGTTACACCTGGTAGCACTTAGTAGTCCGTCCACGACTACTTAGTGTCCGTCTAACATGAACATGTTGGATTTAGAAGACGACAGCTTTCACGTCACACGTGAAGTCTACTCCCATCTGAGTGACTCAGAATGGGAGGTAGTCGGCCGTATGAGTGTGCTCATGGGCGAACCCGCCATCAGTGGTATTTTGGAGTCTCTTAGCAAGGACCAGCAACATGCTGCTATCAACAAGTTTCTACAAGGGAAACTTGCCGTCGAGCGACAGAAGATAGCCTTGCTACAACAGCAAGGCTCTAATCAGTCGATGGGCGGGCCGACGCACATGCGTCAACCCGAAACCTTGCAGATAGATTTATCAAGGTACAAGGGAACAAATGAAGATTCCCTTTTGAGATGGTTCGTCGAGTTAGACGACGCCATCAGACCCGTCACATCGAGGGTGACGAGATGCAAGTCACCTTCGCCCTGTCAAATTTGACAGGACTAGCAAAGACTTGGGCCTTAGGGATCAAGCTTCACGACCCAAACGTGTTTGAGTCGTTAGAGATCTTGAAGTCTCGGCTCAAAGAGACATTTGAGCCGCCGAGAGCCGAGTTCAGAGCACGCTCTGCACTTTTGAGGCTAAGCAAGGTAAGCGTGATGTGCGTGCTTACACACAACGTCTACGCTACCTTGCGAGTAGCGTTACGGAAAACCCTATTGATGAGCACATGCTCATCAACGTGTTCATTTACGGCCTTGTGGATGGACCGGTGAAGACCTACAAGTTCCGGGAGAACTTCCATACGCTGGAAGAGGCGATAGCGTATACGGAACAAGAAGACTTCAGCCTGAGACAGTCTCAGGCTAATTCGTCAAACTATCGTCCGACGAGACGACAGGAAACAGGAGGTCCCAAACTAATGGACCTCTGTTACATCGAGAGCAAGAAATCTCGCTCTCTGATTCACAAGCGAAAGGCAAGATTCCATCGCTATCAGAAGATTGGACACTATGCTCATGAGTTTAGTGTCCCGAGCACTGCAACACGTCCAAAGATAGGACGTGATGACCGCCGTTGGCCGAGGAAAGGTCCAAGGCGCGGGTCCGACCATGTCGCGACAGCAAGTCGGACCGTAAAAAAACGGCCAGGGTCATTAGGGGCTGAGCACCCTGCCTATTTCAGCAGCGTCAAGTGAATTTGCAGGACTCTAGACTAAGATTGCTCCCAACACACAGTCACTGTGTGTTACTGCCGCTAGTGATGAGGTCCCTCATCACTTTTGAGATCGAAGTGAAAAGTGGAATGTCACTGCGCGCCCTAGTTGACTGCGGGGCGTCGAACAGTTTTGTTCAACGCCAGTCGCAAGAGGGTAGCAGGCTCAACTATGTTGAGCGAGAGTTCCCTCCAACGAGGATGACGGTGTGCCTTGCTACAGGCGCATCCGTAAAAGTGAACAAGCGTGTAGTGGGAATTGATTACACGCTAGAAGGAAAGCAGTACGATGATGACCTCATCGTACTGGAAATGGATGACAAATTTGATGTCATCCTCGGTCTTCCATGGCTTAGAAAGTACCGGCCATGAGTTAGCTAGAACAGCATCGATCAGTAAGATGCCCTGCCGTTAGTTCGTCATATGCCATAACGAACGTCTTGGAGCGTCCACAAGCGTGTGGATGTACTAAGAGTGAGTGTGATGGCCTCACTCGTGGTACGGTGGATAGTGCGACTGCACAAGATCACAGTGTAGAAGGCCACTGGACTGTGGAACCAGCTTCTGGCACCTGTGTAGAGACACAGGCTGAGCCGAAGTTTCACCACCCGAAAAGATCGAGTGGACTGGAACACGGATGCACACAAAGAAGGGTGCATCCAAGAAGATGATAAGTGTCGTTCAGAACGAACAACACGTTGAAGCGAGATCGCCTAACAGATAGTCGATAGTAGAGCAAGCCCGATCGACTGAAAGCGAGTCGATCGAAGAGGGCGTGACTGTGGTAGTATACCCACAGTCGGTACACGTATTGGGAGAAAGTTCCAGCGTTCCTGAGAGTGATAACTACCGAGAGAGTTGTATTGAGGGTGTGGATCCCCAGCCACCTGCGGAAGTGTTTTCCCAGAAAATCACCGAGTCAGTGAATGTCTTTGTGAATGACGAATCAAGTGTAGGCGCTTATACACTAGATCTGGTGACGCCATCGAAGTCAGCTTCAGAGGTGGTCAAGTTACCAACGCTAGAATCTAAAAGATTCTTGCGAGATCTGCGTAGTGACAAGATTAAGCAGATATGCGTACTCGTCACAGAGGACGAGTACGTCGCCGATACTCGGTCGGCACAAGTGTTTGCTGAGAACAGACGGGTTCTTAGTAGCTCATCGATGGACGAGAGTCTCCTCGATGAGAAGACCCGGATTGAGCGATACACGTGTACATCTTAGGAGTCTTTGAAGACAAATCCTTTGTATAGGTTTTGGTTGAATTCAGGGATGTTTCCCTGAATCCGTGCCATGTGAGATGCCTAAGCATAAAGGCACTCGGCATGAGATCGAACTGAAACCTGGTTTGAAAAACTGTGTCATGAAGCAGTGGCCACTGCTTCGTGAACAAGCACTTGCGATCGACAAATTCTTTGCCGATCGTTTAGCGGCTGGTCATGTGAGGATGTCAGCATCCCCTCACATCTTTCGGATCTTCTGTGTGCGAAAGGCCACAGGAGGGTGGCGGATAGTGCATGCATTTAACAAGTTGAATGCTGCAACGGTACCGGCTCAAACGCCGATCCCAAGAAAGGATATTGTCATAGAAATTATGGCAAAAAGTACCATCTGTTCGTCCATGCATTTGATGGATGAATTCTATTAGATCCTTATGCGGGAACGGGATTTCCCTTACACAGCAGTGATCACCCCCAGTGGTATGCTGTGGGACTGGCTAGTGATGCCACAGGGGCTAAGTAACGCCCCCGCAACGTTTACATATATGTTACAAATCTTTTGCGATCGGTGCGCGATTTTGCACCGAGTTACTCCGACGATGTCTTTGTTGATAGCCGGACTATCGATGGAAAGACGGACGTGGAGGTTCATAGAATCCACGTCCGGAAGGTTCTTTACACTTATGAGATAGCGTAAGTTGTTCGCGAACCTCAAGAAGTGTGTATTTGAAGCGAGCAAAATACCACTTCTTGGCTGCATCGTGGGTAAAAACGGGGTACGCCCAGATCCGGAAAAGATCAAGACGATTAGCGACTGGCCTGTGCCAGTCGACGTCTAGGGACTTCGAAAGTTCCTTGGCTTCGCGGCGTGCTTGCACAAGTACTCGCGTAACTACGCAGAGAGATTACCGACCGTACATCTCTTACGTCTACTAAAGAAAACGAGAGGTGGCTATGGAGTGCTAAATATCAGCACTCCTTTAAAAGTATTAAGAAAAGCTTGATACAATCGCCTGTGTTGGCGATTGCGGACCAAGACAGACCATTCCATGTGGTCTGTGACGCCAGCAATTTTGCAATCGGCTGCGCTTTTATGCAGTACGATTCAGACGGCGTTGAGCGCGTCGTCCGTTATCAATCGCGACAGCTGCAAGCAGCTGAGTGAAATTATCCGGTGCATGAAAAGGAGCTTCTTTTTTTGAAATGTGCAGTGGCTAAGGTTTGGGTACATCTCTTAGGGGATAGACCCTTTATCGTTTGTACCGACCATGCGTCGTTACGCACGGCCGTAAACAGTCCGCACCTCTCGCAACAAATGGCGAGGTGGCTGTCTTTCATCGCGTAGTACAACTTCTCCGTCGAGTATAAACCAGGACGACTTAATGTCGTCGCTGATGCTCTTTCGCGCCGGCCCGATTTTGAGCCGACTGCTCAACACAACAGTTGGGGTGATCTCACTTTTGCTGCACTATCAGTAAGTGTATTGTTGTCGAGTCTGCTCGACGGCGTGCAAAAAGCATACGCAGAAGATAAGTCTCTTCTGAGATTGATGGATTACGTGTCTAATCCATGCAATCAAGCTTCAAAAATATTGTCGTCTTAATACCGCTCTTCAATTGAACGGTATTCGGTTCGTGATGGACTGCTGTACTATGCAGCAAACACCGGCGACACACCTCGTGTCGTCGTTCCCGCTCATGATAATTTTCGATTGCGCATTTTGTATGAGTTTGACGATGCCCCAACAAGTGGGCATCGCGGTAGAGAAAATACTTACCTCATGGTGAGTCGTGACTTATACTGGAATCGCCAGTATGAGTTTACGCGCAAGTACATTCGCGCTTGCGAAGTTTGTCAACGGGTGAAGCCTAGTCCTTCATCCCGCGTACCCTTGCAGCCTCTTCCGCTTCCGGCAGAATGTTGGTAGTCCGTATCGATGGACTTCATCTTCGGGTTTCTTAAAATTCTCACAAGAATAATGGTATCCTTGTGTTTGTTGATCGGTTCAGCAAGATGGTACATCTTGTTGCTGTACCGGAGTCAATCACAGCCCATGGTGCGCTCGTGTCTTCATCGATACTATCTTCCGACTTCACGGGTAACCTCGTGAGCTCGTGTTTGAAAAGGACCCCCGCTTTACAGAGGAGTTCTTGCAATCCGTGTTTTGTTCACTTGGAACACGTTTGAAGATGTCGACTTCTATCCACCCAGAAACAGATGGTCAGACGGAGCGCGTCAACCGCGTCCTTGAAGAGATACTTCGAAGGTATGTCCACTCGTTTACAAGCTGAAGTGAGTTCTTGCTGATGGCGGAATTCGCCATCAACAACTCGGTGCACGCGTCGACAACGCATACACCGTTCTTTGTGAATGGCCTACTCCATCCACGATTACCCGCCTTCTTAGATTGTGACTATAGTTTGAGGGGGTTTTGACTCGCACGAACGAGAACTGATTTGGTTCTTACTCAACACACGTCGACAATGGTATCGACGTTACGGATGCCAATTTCGATCACATCGACACCGATGACGATGATGAAGACTGTGCTGGTATATTCAGCATCGACAACGACTGCCACAGTGAGGACAATAACGCCCTCACTGGTAAAGACAGCGTTCTTTTAGCAGTGCACACGAAGCGCACTGCTGTAAGTAAGGATGTACAAGGAGAGGAATTTCTGCTGACTCGCGAAGCGGTTGTCCGCTTCGTTCAAGACTCCATCGCAGACGCACTAGACAAGCAGATAAGAAATGCGTACAAAAGTAAGCAGCAGTAAATTACTGCCCATGTACATCGGTCCGTTTTGTGTATTATGCCGCATAGGCAACGCATACACGATTGTACTGCCTGGTAGGATGCACACGCATCCTAAGTTTTACGTTGGATGCGTCCGCCCGTGCTATCAGCACGGACCCGTTTCGAGAGACGAAGAACGCCTCCGCGATCAGGAGCTGATTCCACCTTCGAGTGGTCCCGTTTAAACGAGCCAGTCTGGTCGACTAGCGGAGCGACTTGCTCATGCAGTTGAGCAATGTCCCGACGAGCTGCAGTCAGCTCGACACAAAGAGAGCGAGTCGAACGTTCGCTATCAAGTTGCGCAGACGCAAACGCGGCAAGATCGGCTGAATGATCGACCGTCTATGAATTGAAATTGTCCTTTACAATGTCATCGAGCTCACAAGGCAGAGTTCGTTCATAAGCCCAGTCATCGTGTACCTGATCCGTTACCCGGTTCGGCTCCTGAAAATCAAGCTGATCCGACCCTCGAGCCGTTCCAGGTGCTCCCGCCCCCACCACATCCTTTGGTGGATTCTGGCGGTGTTCAACACTACTGTTGGAGCGTAGTTTAAACCACGGCGACGTGAAGGGCGTCCGAACGAGTGTCATTGTCGGCTGTCGTGGCCTTCCACCGGCCTGGGACAGCTGGGTGCCTCACGCCCAGCTGATTATTGATGTTCGGCTCTCGTCGAGCCATATGATGAGACCCAACCACTGCTTTCGAAGAAGGGCCGTCAAAACACGAGCTCACCGAAACGCGAGTACAGGGATTGCAACGTGCCAAATCGTTCAGCCATTTCAGAAGAGATGCGCACCCTCCAGTAGGGATCCTTGGGAAGGGGGGCGGGTAAAGCATCCTAAGGGCATGATTTGCATTGTGCAAACAACCTGGACACGAATCACCCCACGAGAGACGGGATAATCCTGCCTCTCTTGATCGCCGGTGCAACTTGTATCGCGCCCCGAATGGGTTGCGCTTCTCAAGCCTGATACGAACTGCATCACGTTTACCGAGCCAGGCCTCACGGCCAATGCGCTCGATGTTATGGATGAGGGCATTTCATCCTTGCACCAAGGCTTTGTCGTCTCGAACACGGTTGCCGTTGTACCACCGATGTTTGAAAAACTTATCTGTGAAGAACTTTTTCCAGGCGCGGAAAGTTTCCGTGCTGGGATTATGAGGATAAAATCTCATGCAGTCGAACACCAAGGTTCGATCCCTTCGGTGGTCATACCGGCCAATCGATCTAGCTCCTTGGATGATGGCATCCAAGGAGACTCCACTTGAGGTGCGTGGCGCAGAACATTGCGTCCCTTGGCCTCTTGGGTGGTGTCAGCATGAACACTGACACAAGTGGCAGCTCGACCCCTCGAGGTATTTATCTCGTGGTGATGCATAGGTGCATCACCACTATCACCACGCGTCCTATCGTCGGATGGACTTGCGTGATACGAGGCATCGTCAGAAGAATCGATCGGTCCGAAGATCTAGGACATGATAACACCACGTTCAACATAACCAGTCATTTGTCTCTTGCAGTGTCCGCCATGGATGATCCGGAAGCGTGAGGTGTCGTCCTCGAGTCGGATGGATTATCCAACTCGCTATTTTAGGTGAGATCCATTTGAGGTTCATCCAGATTGCAAGTCACAGCACCCGCTGCAGACGAAGCGATTGTATATGTCGCACGTGGTGACTCATTACGCGGATTATGTACAACAGGCATCACGTGTTGAAAAATAGCACCAGCAGGCGAAGGATCACCTGCTGCTGAAGCAAGAAAAGAACACTCTTTGGCCACACGCATGCGTGCAACCAACTTTCTGGATGCCTCGGCAGAATATCGCGTGGAGGTTGGCACCATGCGATGAATTGGCAAATGAGTTGGAATTTGACCAACAAGTGCTCCCTTTCCCAGAGTGATCCAGCGGTGGTCACATTGCCCCAATTATTTTTATTCAAACAACAGGTGATTGATGGTTAAGGTAAGATATAAAGAGGTAGCCCGTTACATGATACTGACACCAAACGGTGTCAAAAGAGATTTTGTCTAGTATGACAATATTCTACCAATATTATCCGAGATGGACAACATTGAAGAAATATGATTTCCTATTAGGATATTATTCATGCGCTGCTCAGAGATTGGTTGATAAAGACATGTCAACCATAGATTGCCACCAATCGCTGCTAGACGTGCGCAATGAGTGGTGAGGAAGTTGTCCTCATTCGACGGCGTAGTTTAACATAGTTAGATAAAGATTAGAGTTATATTGATAGCTTAACTATGTTAAATACAGTTCTCTTTTTACTCTTTACTCAGCTTAGTCGTAAAGAAGATTAGCTTCCTCTTTATGTACTAGTGTACGTGAATTTCGTGGCACCCAGACAAAGGGTGCCCCGTTACAAACGGCCTCACTTGCCTTCCAGTCGCGCAAGCCACGAACCGACATGTCCTTGAGATTAAACAAAATTGGTTCGTTCCCAATGTTACTTAAAAGGCTCTCCACGGTGTCTTAACGCAAAATTAGTCGCACACGATATGTCCGAGCAATAAAAACTTCCATTTAAAGTAGCGTATCGGGAGCCTCATGTACACGATTTAGCCCCGCTAGTTCCTCACTGCTCGTATCATTTTAATTTGTGTTAGTGTAGCGGAGCTACACAGCTCCTTGAGTCAAAGGATAGATTATTTCTTAAAGAGTGATGCTAGTTTTAAAGAACTAGACTCTATGAGTCAATAAGCATAAAAGGTCAAGGTCCCTGATCCAGGAGACCGAACGATTCAGTTTCTCTGCCGGACGAAGTGCTCAAGAGTGAATATTTCAGGGAGGTGTTGCGAACTCTTACCGATTAACAATCAGAGACACCTTGCAAGGCACGTGTCTTTGACAAGATCGAAAGGGGAACTGCACTTTATTTTTGTTTAACTCTATAGAATATCTTGATTCTATTATTACATAATACAGGCACTCATGTACAAAATAGTACGTTTAAGAAATTTCCTAAATTGTGGCTGACACCCGTCATCCCCTATCAACCGACAAGATATTCTATATTTTTTATCATTTGGATACTATCTCGCGTGTCTAGGACAAAGGGTACCGAAAATCATACGACATTTAACCCCTTTGTAATGGACCCCTTTAGAGTTGTGACGGATAGACATTTTCAAGATTGGACACGCGGAGTGCGCCACATATTGCGCTCTGCTGGGCAGAAATTAGCTCTGATGGGTCTTGTGCACTGTGATACCAAGATTTTTTCTTCGCTGGTCGGAGCATCTTTATACTGAACCTCTTTTCTTAGCTTCAATGTTACATCGTGTAGCTCCTTCTCTTCATGACACGCTATTAGCACATAATCCACAATAATTACAAGTAACATCACTCTCTTGTTATTTTGCGCTTGTAATAGATGCACGGGTCAAAATTGGACTTGATAAAATTAAAAGCGATCATAAACTGATTCGTCGTTCTATTCCAGAAGCTACCAGACTGTTTAAGTCCGGACCATCGCTTAACCAATTTAAGTGCTTTTCCATCCTCTGCTTCCAGCTCTCTTGGTGCCTTCATAAGAATTAGTCCGCATGGCAAACCTTTGCGTAAGCATTTGTAACGTAGCCATGAGTCAGTTTCAATCAAAGCAAGCTTGACAGTACAAATAAATAGACGCGCACTGCTTACTTCGATCACTTAAATCAACGCCGTACTTCTGGCTAAACCCTCGTGCAAAAAGTCTTACGTTAAAGCGCTCATCGTCATTATCGGCATCATCTTTAGTTACAACACCCAAGTGCCGTGGATGATGTCTGTACTTTTGTTTGATTTGTCGACAACCTCCTAATTGCCTATTTCGACTGGTCATCGAGCTCTGCTATAACCGCATTGATCCAGTTCTGTCGATTCGGGTAAGTCATGGCTTCTCGAACGGATCTTGGCTTCTTTACTCGTACAACCGATATTGCGGCACCGACAGCACATTAAGAAGGCAGGGTGACATGAAGACACCCACGCTGTTCTGCATGCGATTGGTTTCAAGAGTGTGTAAAATTAGACCCAAATTCATCTCAAGTAGAAACGATCGAGCCATCTCCACCTAGACTAATTTTGTTATCTGCGTAAGCGATATTGTAAGTGGGTACATCACCCTTAGCACTTAGATCCTTGTCGATACTCTTTTGGCCGAGTTGATTGACTGGACATGCTGGGATAATAAGGTATTCTTCGTACGTTTGATGGAAGCGCGACGGCCCTTCACCTTATTATAACATACAATGAGTATGCTGTGCACACACTTCTTACGCGTAAGCATGGACTTACTCTTCACATGGAGCATGACCCATTGTTCTTACTTAAGTGTGTGATTAAGACTGAACATGTGTCCAGTTGAAAATTTAATGGGCAACTTTTACCTCCATCTGCACTTGTCGTTAAGGGAAATCTTTACCGTGATAGATGTCGTAGTGCTTCCTGCCATAGTAAGTAGAGATTATTGGCGGTATCAAACATCTTAGCCCGCATGTCATCAAACAAAGTCATGTGAAGCCTCTCCACTTTCCATTTGAAGATGATTCGTCAATTTCTAATAGTTATTGTCGGATTTCGCGTGTTGCACACCACGACCTTATCTTTTTCTCAAAAATTCATTGTTGCTTTCAATAACCTTCACTTGCATGTCATGTTGTCGCTCGAATCTTGTTATAATTCAGTCAGTAAGAAAAAATAGTTGTTAAACCGTAAGGACCTTAACCAGTCGGACTTAGCATTCATTGGAAGTAATTCTCCAAAGCTAGTCACATACTCGACTACATGTAAAGAGTGAGTACGGACTCTCAATATGTGTGCTTTGAGGTGTGTCTTGAATAAAACTCAATTACAGCTTCAATCTTGTCGGTTGTTTCCGATTCAAAAGTTTTTGTTTGCGCTGTAGCGCTTCTTGCTCGATCCCCCTCGCTAAACGCATCATATTAACGTTTGCTTCTTGTCAGTGATGTGTAGACCATCAGCAAGGTCATGAATATCGATCATTGCTATATCCTCACGTTTATATGGCCAAGGTTAAGCATGCCTTTCCACAATGCTGTCATCAAGTTTTGCTGTAACACTCACAACAGCCGATAAGATTGCCTACCCATTGAGGTTTCAAAGCAAAGTGTCCCAATTCGCACAGCCAGCAATAATTTTAACTTTGTGTCTTCAAGCTTTCACAGTGATGCGCCTTGCTCATTTATTGAGGTATGAATACCTTTCTTTGCAAGTTGACCAATCGATTGCAGATTTTTGTGCAGGATTGAACTAAAGTTTACGTCTTGCAATAGAATTTTGGTTTGGTTTTGGTCGACATTTATTTTCATCATGATGTGGCCACACGTGGAAGACTAAACGGTGCGACCATCCGCGATAGTTTCATTTACATTGCAAGCTTACATGTTTTGCAATGCAAAACCGGTACCGCATGTGTGGTGACTAGCGCCTGACGTCTAGCAACCATTATAAGTCATTCCTAAAACTTCTGAATGCTACCCAGCATGATGCGTACTGACAGTGATTATCGTCAGTCTTTTCGGTGGGAAGAGATGTCTCCACTACATGAGCTGTGCTTTCTG